CAAGACAGAGGCACTTGCTCAACGCAATGTTGATATTGAAGTAAGGGATGCTAGTTTTATATCCATTGATGGAAAACTATTTTACAAGAAAGAGAGTAAAAAATTCAAGCAGTGACATTCATCGACTTGCAAGATTAAACTTTTCACCAACAATCTGTTACACAAAAGTACCAGTTGATTCGGTCACCCGTATTTTTATTAAAAATAAAAATTGAGATAAAAAGAGAGCTATGACTCATTCGTGGTCTGAAAGTTTGGATTGAATTGTACAAGTTTTAGTTGAATATTTTGCAATAAATAATGTAATAAAAGTATTACATGTAATAACTGAATATTACTTATACACTTTACGGATATTTTTACTTCCACTACAAACAGGTCAAAACCTTATGCTTGACCAAAACTTTGGAGAGCACAAGGTTTAAAAAAATTATCGAAGTGAAAATTAATCACAATTGTATTTCATTTATAGATCTAGAATGTTTTTATATAGCTCAATACTTGAGGTAATCAAGACTTGGAGGAATTTATAAAACTAATAAATGATGAGAGAATTCCCTAAATAGGAGTAAAAAAGTTTTGAAATTCCAAAATAGGAGTATCATGTTTTTATTCCCTAAATAAGAGTAAATTTCTGCCAAGTTTGGAAATTACAAGGCTTTAAACATGGCATTTTTTCCAAACTTGGCAGATTACTCCTATTTAGGGAATAAAAAACATGATACTCCTATTTTGGAATTTCAAAACGTTTTTACTCCTATTTAGGGTAATTTCTGATAAATGATTTCTAAGATTCTATTCGTGCCTAACAACAGAGCGATCTTTAAACTCAGAGGTCTCCGGTCATAAACCTAGTAAATTGATGGCCCATGCGCTACTTGGGAAGACTTGATACAATCTTGCAGATGAATTTTTGACTTGCAAATTTATCATTAACCACTTTGTTCAGAATGATTATATCCTTTTCACACCAATCAGTCTACTCTTAAATCCAAACTTTCAGTCCACAAAGTAGTTCTAAATTTTGATTCATGTCGAAATTTCCTAGTACAAATAATGGTTGGTCGAACTAACCGGTCGATTCTACGGTACCCATAAGGTACCGTACCTTTGTCCACATGGACAAACCAGAATCATGCAGTTCAATTATTTAAATCTAAATTAAAAGGGATTTAATGATTTGGACCAATCAAATGCATGGTAGGTACGGTACCCCATTTTTTAAATGGGTACCGGAGTTGTCACCATAACATAAAGCAAACATGTGCAATCCTTTATGCTATTTATGTTTAAATAGCACAAAAGAAACATGTTTGAAAGAATATTTTTTAAAAACAAAATTACACAGAATTTTTACCTAAAAACAAAGGCAATTTTTAGATATGGGGTGGGCTGAGCATAGGTTTCCTCCCTAGATCGGCCCATGAAGGCAACCAAATGTATGTATATAATTAAGGGCAATTCTATACACAACCACAATTTTGCTATTTACAATCACATGTTTAATTTTTAATTAAAAACGTTATTCTAAATGTCTAATTTGCCCTGATGTATATACTTCGTATATCACCCGCCATCATCGCTGCTTCAATTCAACCCAACCAATTGGAGTTCTAATCAATGCTAATTTGCTACTCTGTTTTACATTTGTGGAGCATTACGTCGTTCTGCCATTGAAATCTACTTCTCAAATGCGCTGCTGGGATCCAAAATTAAAGAAGTCTTCAAAAAGTGATCAATTTCTTTACTGTAGATTTCTTTCTTAATCCACCTCTCGTAACAATACGATTGAAACCAAACGCACTTGAGCACATAAAATAAAAATTGAATGCAAGATTTAATCTATCTAGGGATCCATTGATCTAATGGGATTTTTTTTTGAAAGACTAATAGAAGATGTAAAAATTAGGAAGTTTTTCACTTTTCCTTTTGGTTTGGAACTACAAATTTCTGGAAGTGGTGGGGGAGGACCCTACGAGAATTTTCATCATTTGCTGCTCCCCTTTTGCTGCGGTCACAGGTCGAACCGCAGCAATAAGTGAAATTTTTTAAGTATTTGCGGGGGTCCAACGGAAACCGCAGCAAATGTATCAAAAAATCTAGACTATTTGATGCGGGCGTTTAGAAACCGCAGCAATTTACCGGAAAAATTGGAATTAAACGGCTCAAATGAAATTAAAAATTAAAACTATTTTGCTTTCGCTGCGGGTGAGTCGTCACCGCAACAATAATCTTCAAAATAAAAATTCTATAGGTACCCCAAAATGTACCTCATTTTGTACCCACCCCTGAATTGCCTGTGTACACAGGCAATTCGTTTGAAAGAGGACAGGACTTTCAGTCCAAATGTCTGTGTACACAGACGGTGTACAGATTGGGGTACAAATTGGGGTACCCCAAACAGGACCCTCTTCAAAAATGGGATAACCCTCGCAGGCCACTCGGTTTCAGTAGACGCGAGCATTGTTTATCTTCTTCCTTTCAGCCACACGTGGCCATCGTCGTTCCAGCTGCACGTCGCCGCCGTCGAGAGCCTCGCCATCGAACAGCTTCGTCGTGCCAGCCCGCCGTCTCCGTAGGCAAGCCCCCGCCTCCTCCAACAGTTCATCCTTCTACTCCGCGCTTCTCGGCCGCGGCCGTCTTGCGCAGCACACCACACTCCACCGCCCCCTCCCAGTAGAATCGCCGTACCCGTCTCCACCTCTCTGGACCTTGATTACTCAATAGAGGTTTAGTTTCTAACCATTTATCATATCATTCAATTTATTGAAGCTTATCAATTTTAGGTTATTACTTTTGTGAATTTATTGGTAAAATTGGTGTTTATGTTCTGTTCCTTGAAGTAATCAGACCACATTCTTTTTGGTATTCAAGTAATCAGACGACTTTTTTTTTTTTGCTTTTGGAATGTTGGGATGTCAATATTTCATTTTATTGTACATGAGTCATGGCTTATTTGGTTTCCAGGCGTGTCTTCATATTGAGACTATAAGATCCAATGTAAATTCTTTAAGATAATACAATTGCTCCAGCCTATTGTTTATTCAGATGCTATTGAAACATATATGGCATCATATATAAGCTTTTTCCTTGTTATAGTGTATGGTCTCAGAACTCAAAACTTCTATGTTTAGGTTATTCCTCATAATGGTTGAAGTTCGTTATGATGGAGGTTATAGGAAGACTACTTATCAATGGAAAAACTAAGTAAAATAACTTATTCTAATATTAATGGACTTATGCTAATGCTTCTCGTGTCCTAGCAACGCCACTGCACGCCTCCTTTTGCTAGGAAGGATCAGATCGGTACGTGGGCGCCGAGCAACAAAGATTGAATTCCTTTATGCAATAAGCCTTTAAGCAAGGAAGAGAAGATAGCAAAGAGGAGTCAATGTTTAGCTGCAATTGGTAATCCACCCTTGATACCTTTAAATTTTGTATTTCTGTGATATTGACTTGCTTACTGATCTTATTTTTCTTTTATCGGCTTTTGTTTCTTCTAAATGAATAAAACAATACTGTTTTTATTGGTCTTATATTATAGAATTGGTCTTTGCACTCCCTATTTACCCCAATATTTTGCCTTCATAGACATTTTAATAGCATAAAGAGCTCTGGTAATGAAGGCTATTAATGGATAAAGGTTGCGAAGTCACTACGATGTCACCTGGAGTTTGTGAAGTCAACTTTTTTTTTTTGCTTCTGTAGTGTTAAAAGCACATTACTAAAAAAAATCACCACATTGGTGCCTAGTAAAGTGCTTTTTCAGAAATTAGCTTTTATAAGCCAACCCCAGATGGGCAGTAATATGCTGCTTTCTTAATTAATCATTAACTGTTCTTTTACAGTTAAAAGCATGTTTGTTATATTTTTTAGACACAAGCTTCTAAAGCAACAAACCTTTCTGTGACTAAGGCTTGGATGTTGTTGTAAGCTTCTTTTTAAGTAAGATCACTTTCCTTTCTGTGAAAAGCAACAAACCTTGAAAATAAGTCATCTCAAAGACTCAAACGCTCACTAAGTAAAATTTGTGGAAAGCTCACATTCATGCCATACATTAAATCTGTTGTCCAAATTCTTGTTAGGTTTCCTACCAATAAATTAGTGTACTAAATTTTATTGTTAGAAGAAAGAACAGTTTTGTAAGGAACCATAATAATATAAAGAAAAACTCAAAGAAGTGATATCTTTAAAATATAAGTCTAAGAGTGAATGACATTTTCATATGAAGACAATATGTTATTTTATTTGTTTCTCAAGTTTTTGGATGTATGGGATTTGTTTGGCACTTGTAAGTTATAAATTTGAAAATCTTTTGAATAGTTGGAGCCACACTATCTTGCCACAGTATACTTTATTTTATAAAGTAACTAGAGAATATGCATTGCCACAGTATACTTTATTTTATTCTATTACATTCACAACGAAATCCTATTACATTCATCTATGTTGTTGTTTCATTGTTATTAATGGTTTTGTGGATTCAACTGCGTTTTTAACACGACTCCCTCCTTTAGACATATACAGTTATATGAGAGTATTCACTCCATGTTTACATAAAAGAAGTGAATTGTTCTTATAATCAATGTGTCTGAAACTCTTGATTGTTATTGCAGATAGATATATGGTGTTGATAAGGTGTTAATTTCTGCCCGGTTAGTGTGCTATCTTAGCCGTTTACAATTCAACCTATTTAATTTATATTAAATTTGATTCTGATTTTAATTTCTACTCCATATTAAAATTGCCTTGAAACTGGGGATGATGTTGCCATAAAGAAGGTGCTTGAGGACAGGAGATACAAGAAATGAGAACGGCATATTATACGATTAGTGGATCATCCCAATCGTATAAGCATTGTATGATTAGCGTGCATGTATAAACATTATATAATTTTTATTACATGTATGTATTGTTGAGTTTAATCCAACACGATATAGAAATATATGTATGAACACTCAGTTTTTACGTGGAAACCCGAAAGGGAGAAAACCACGGGACTTTTTAGGCTAATGTCCAAGCCCTCTCTTTCTCATTAGGACTCTCCTCACCATTACATAGTACAAGCTCCCATTAATGGAGTATTGGGCTAAGTCTAAAAGAAGAAGGAAGATGGAGCTAAAAGAGGATCCTTTACATGGAGGGAAAACCTCCTATAAATAGGGAAAGGGGTGAGGGAAGTACTCCACCCTAATGGGCCAAACGGGCCGATGTCGGGCCCAATGGCCAAAGTGGGCCAGAATGGGCCGAAATGGACCTAACTGCTCGGGCTCCGTACTGGACAATGTCTCGGGCTCTTGTACAGTAATAGGCCGGGATAATATATCCCAACACAAGTCCCCCAGTTTCTTGAGTAGTGAGTGCGCGAATCTGCTCGAGAAAGTATATTCTTGCCTGCGCTCTGCCTCTGTCTAGCTGGAACCTGTGTCTTCGAATAATCATAATACATGAGTGGATGTCCACACTCCTGAACGTAATCTGCCGGTGAGGCACCCCCCTTCCCGACGGGGTCGGGCGAAGGGTGCTCCTCCACGGGCACGCTCCCCCTGAATGCATCAGGCGAGAGTAAAGGACTCTGACTCGAGCTTTCCAATCGGAGAAGCTTTAGAGGTCCATGCATCTATAAACCGACGTCGCGGTACTGTCAAAACATGATGCACATGTGTACGTATGAATGTATGAGGTATGATGCATGAATGTATGAATGCATGTAATGTATGGGTGCAATGTATGCGAGAAGGAATGTGAGATGTAATAGAAAGCGGTGGCTCTCGTCGATAACCCGGGCATGTCAGCGCCGAGAGGCAGACGTGCTGCATAAGATGGTCGTCGCCATCCTAGATGGGATGGGCAATCCGGAGATGAACCCGACACAATGGCACGGCGGGGCCGATTGTGCTGCATAAGAGACGTTCGTCGCCATCCTGGAAGGGATGGGCGAGCCGAACATGAGCCAGACACGATGGCGCTGAGAGGCCGATCGTGCTGCATAAAGACGTTCGTCGCCATCCTGGAAGGGAATGGGCAAGCCGAACCGTGAACCTGGACACGATGGCACTGAGGGGCCGATCGTGGTGCATAAGACGTTCATCGCCATCCTGGAGGGAATGGACGAGCTGAACGTGAGCTGGGTACGATGGCGCTGAGGGGCCGATCGTACTGCATAAGACGGTCGTCGTCATCCTGGAGGGAATGGGCGAGCCGAACCGTGAATCTGGACACGATGGCGCTGAGGGGCCGATCGTGATGCATAAGACGTTCGTCGCCACCCTGGGGGGGGATGGACGAGCTGAACGTGAGCTGGGTACGATGGCGCTGAGGGGCCGATCGTACTGCATAAGACGGTCGTCGCCATCCTGGAAGGGAATGGGCGAGCCGAACCGTGAATCTGGACACGATGGCGCTGAGGGGCCGATCGTGATGCATAAGACGTTCGTCGCCATCCTGGGGGGATCGACGAGCTGAACGTGAGCTGGGTACGATGGCGCTGAGGGGCCGATCGTACTGCATAAGACGGTCGTCTCCATCCTGGAGGGAATGGGCGAGCCGAACCGTGAATCTGGACACGATGGCGCTGAGGGGCCGATCGTGATACAGGAAAATAGTGATGATCATCTCATGGCCCTCGGCCCGTCAGTGAGTGGTAATCGTCTCACGGCCCTCGGCCGTGCTGGTGATGTGTCAAGTCTCTCTCCTGATTGGCTGTGAGAAGCCGATCGTCTGTCAGAACTCCATCCGGGAAGGCATGGTGAGCCTGATATACATCTGGGCGATGTCCCTCCTACCTGATCTGGGGAGCTAATCGTCGTTCATCTACCGTATCTGTGGTCCTATGTACGGACCGCTAAGCGGTGGACACTCGGTACGCAACAGACTCCGGTGGAGAACTGGTCCTTCGTGTCTGATCCATGGAGCTGGTCTTCGTTTGTCTACCGTATCCGTGGTCCTATGTACGGACCGCTAAGCGGTGTACACTCGGCACGCAACAGACTCCGGTAAAGAACTGGTCCTCCGTGTCTGATCCATGGAGCTGGTCTTCGTTCGTCTACCGTATCCGTGGTCCTATGTACGGACCGCTAAGCGGTGTACACTCGGCACGCAACAGACTCCGGTAAAGAACTGGTCCTCCGTGTCTGATCCATGGAGCTAGTCTTCGTTCGTCTACCGTATCCGTGGTCCTATGTACGGACCGCTAAGCGGTGTACACTCGGCACGCAACAGACTCCGGTAAAGAACTGGTCCTCCGTGTCTGATCCATGGAGCTGGTCTTCGTTCGTCTACCGTATCCGTGGTCCTATGTACGGACCGCTAAGCGGTGTACACTCGGCACGCAACAGACTCCGGTAAAGAACTGGTTCTTCGTTCTTCCCAAGTCTCGTGAGTACTGGTCTCCTGGTTTCGCAGGAGACGTTCGTCATCCCAACTATGAGAAGAAACAGGTTTACCCACGTCGGGATTCCCTATTCTTCGTTCGTCCCTGTCGTGGTGCTACTAATCTTCTTACTTCGAAGAAGACGTTCGGTCATCCAACGATCGCAAGGATGAACAGGTTTATCCACGTCGGGATTCCCTATTCTTCGTTCGTCCCTGTCGTGGTCCTACTAATCTTCTTACTTCGAAGAAGACGTTCGGTCATCCAACGATCGCAAGGAGGTCACTGGTTTATCCACGTCGGGATTCCCTGCTTCGTCGTCCCATGCTCGTGGCCCTACTAGCCTTCTGCTTTGGCAGAAGGTGTTCATCGATCCACGGGAAATGGGAGGAACTGGTTTATCCTGCCGAGGTTCCCTTTGGTACGTCTAGCCTCCCCCACGTTCCTACTAACCTCCGCGTCGGGAGACGTTCGACATACGCGGCGAAGGAAGATCAGGCATACCTCGTCAAGACTCCCTCTCTCATAGGAGCTTCTCTCTCCCCTTCTCCCCATCTTTTCTCTCTCTCTCTCTCTCTTTTTTTTTTTTTTTTTTTTTTTGAGGGAGGAAAATACGTTCATCGGTTTCCAAGAATGACCACAAGTGATGTCACACATAATGGTGGTGGGATACAAAAAACGAGTAAAATGACGAGGCGGTGGAATAACTGGTCGTCATGCGAAGGCGATGGTCACCCTCCTGGAGGGGATGGGTGAGCCCGATCGCTAACTCAAGAAGGTCGGCGTTGGGAGCCGATATACAATGATCATAATGTCGCTGAGCGGTCGGTCCTGATAATGGAGACGGCAATAGTGTCCAGGTCAGGCCGATATATCCGAGCAACGGCTCTCATCCACGCAGTGCGGGGATGAAACCGGTCTTCAAAAGATAAATATGTCGTGTCGAGAGGCCGAACATAACATGATAATGTCGGCAGTGAGAGGCCGACCTGAAAGAATCAAACAACGGTCCTCACCCGCGAGGTGGCGGGGACGGGCCGGTCTTCAAAAGATAAGCACGCCGAGCCGAGAGGCCGGTCGTGGTATAATGGTGTCGGCAATGAGCGGCCGATCTGAGAAAATCAAGCAACGGTCCTCGTCCGCGAGGGCGGGGACGAGGCCGGTCTTCAAAAGATAAGCACGCCGAGCCGAGAGGCCGGTCGTGGTATAATGGTGTCGGCAATGATAGGCCGACCTGAAAGAACCAAGCAGCGGTCCTCGTCCGCGAGGTGTGGGGACGAGGCCGGTCTTCAAAAGATGAACACGCCGAGCCGAGGGGCCGGTCGTAGTATGATAATGTCGGCACTAAGATGCCGATTAAGATATGGTCCAGCAATGGTCCTCGTCCGCGAGGTGGCGGGGACGAGGCCGGTCTTCGAATATGATAATCGCGCCGGTCCGAGAGGCCGGTCGTGATATAATGATGTCGGCGATGAGAGGCCGACCTGAAAGAAATCCAGCAACGGTCTTCGTCCGCGCAGCGCGGGGACGAGGCCGGTCTTCTAAAGATAAGCACGCCGATCCGAGAGGCCGGTCGTGATATAGTGATGTCGGCAATGAGAGGCCGATCTGAGAGAACAAGCAACGGTCGTCATTCGCGAGGAGCAGGGATGAAACCGGTCTTCAAATATGATAATGGCGCCGTACCAGGGGGTCGGTGGCCATGTAAGAGTGTCGGCCTGGGGGCTGATCATAAAGAACCAAGCAACGGTCCTCATCCGCGAAGAGCGGGGACGAGGCCGGTCTTCAAATATGATAATGGCGCCGTACCAGGGGGTCGGTGGCCATGTAAGAGTGTCGGCCTGGGGGCCGATCATAAAGAACCAAGCAACGGTCCTCATCCGCGAGGAGCAGTGGTGAGGCTGGTCTTCAAAAGATAAGTATGTCGGGCCGAGAGGCCGAACGTGATATAATGGTGTCGGCAATGGGAGGCCGATCCGAAATCAAGCAACGGTCCTCATCCGCGCATCGCGGGGACGAGGCCGGTCTTCAAATAAGATAATCACGCCGAGCTGGGAGGCCGGTCGTGATGTAATGATGTCAGCAATGAGAGGCCGATCTGAAAATCAGGATGGTCTCACGGCCCTCGGCCGTGATGGTCTCCTCTAGGCCCTCGGCCTCTGATTGATGGACGATCGTCTCACGGTCCTCCGTCGTGGTAGTCCACTCTAGACCCTCGGCCTCTAGGTGTTCTTCCTAGGCCATCGGTCTCTGGGGTGGAGATGCTCGTCCCACGGTTCTCAACCGTGGTGGTCTCTCCTAGGCCATCGGTCTCTGGGGTGGAGATGCTCATCCCACGGTTCTCAACCGCGGTGGTCTCTCCTAGGCCATCGGTCTCTGGGGTAGAGATGCTCGTCTCACGGTCCTCAGCCGTGATGGTCTCCTCTTTAGCTGGCCCTGAACGTCTTTGAGACTCGGGCCGAGCGTCTTTTAATCATTTCGCTTGAGCGCGTCGAGTGATTTCAGCTGCGCAATAAGCATGGTAACGGGCCGCACGGCCCGACAATAAATATGCACACATAACCATCTGCATGGCTTTCTCTCTAACACCCACGATTACCGGCCTATGGGTCATCGTGACCCTCGGCCCGGCTCATCGTGCGGGTTCAATGGACGTAACAGCCCGCGGCGGGGCCAATTAGCAGCCCGCCGAACGCCACATAGAGATATTCATCGGTCTGTGAGTTTTCAAACTCAGACCCATGTGGGTCGCACTGCCCTAAAAAAAACGAGGTTGAGTGCTTTGGTGCCCTCGGGCCCCATAGGCCATGTTCGGCAATAGTCACTTCGCGCCTAATGGCGTAGACTACATTGGGGTATGATCGTCGATCGGGCATTTGGTGCCGTGCGGATTAACGCGCAACCCTCAAATTAAAATGCGTCGTTGGGGCATCGCCCTCCTGAAGACGCTCGGATCACTTAATCACGCTGATCGAGAGTGGGCCAATAGGCCCACAAGAAATTAAATATTCAATAAAATGTTGGCTGAACCAACCATCACCAGAGCTTCGCTCAACATTATTTAACTCGGGACATTTTATCCCTAATAAATAATAGTGATGTAACAGGTAATAGCAATGATATTATCCTATCGAAGGCCATTCAGATATGCCCCGCTCGCTAATTAAAGCCGACCAGGAGCGGGCCGACGGGCCCACAACAACCAGTCATTAATTAGAATGACGGTGAAAATAATTATCACTAGAGCTTTACTCATTCGAGTTTTGCCCGACATTATTTAATTCCGGGATATTTTAATCCCTGATAAATAATGGTGATAAAAAATACTAGGAATACTAATATTTTAACACTTTTAAGCTTTAACAGTTTAACTACGGAGTAATAAATGAGAAAGGCCAAGTGTTACTTAGCTTTTGCATCCTGGTGGAATTGAGCATGTTGAAAAAAGCTTGACTGAGTAACACTCTGGCTTGGCCCACCATAACCCCCAACTTGGCCATTCGTAGATGGCTCCTAGGCTGTACCTCTCTATCGGCTCTACGCCACCTCCTCCGAACCACTCAATTTCTGCCGGCCTACAAGCTGTCCCAGCCATAGTTGCAATTTTGACTCAGTCAAAATACTCCATAAACCTCTCGGCCTTGCTCGGGCCTTTCACGGTTCAGCCATCCCACGTCCTCATCCCGCGCTGCTGTCCAGATTTAAGCAAGAAACCATTAATGGCGGAAGCTTCAGCTCGAGGCCGAGCTTCGACCGAAGGACAAGCCATGGTCTGGCGAGATGGCAGGGCCCACTGCTCAGGCGTTCAGACGAGGAGGGGGAAGCTAACGGCAGACGGCATCCGGCGGTGTCGCGATTCAGACTGAGGAGCTGAGCTTTGTAAGGCGGTAGTCCTCTGAAACGGCGACCACACTACTGGCCTTGTTTATCCTTCTTTTGCGGAGGTTCCACGGCGGCGGAGACGGTGATGGCGGCTCCGGCAACTCCAACCCAGATATGGAAGAATCCAGATCTGAACTCCAGATTCCATAGCTTCTTTCCTTCTTCCTTCGCTCGGATCAGTAGCTTTCCAGTATCAAAATCTTCTTAGCAGTGAAGAACAACATGAATCTTTTTGAACAAGATTCCCACAGACGGCGCCAGTGTTGAGTTTAATCCAACACGATATAGAAATATATGTATGAACACTCAGTTTTTACGTGGAAACCCGAAAGGGAGAAAACCACGGGACTTTTTAGGCTAATGTCCAAGCACTCTCTTTCTCATTAGGACTCTCCTCACCATTACATAGTACAAGCTCCCATTAATGGAGTATTGGGCTAAGTCTAAAAGAAGATGGAAGATGGAGCTAAAAGAGGAACATGGAGGGAAAACCTCCTATAAATAGGGAAAGGGGTGAGGGAAGTACTCCACCCTAATGGGCCAAACGGGCCGATGTCGGGCCCAATGGCCAAAGTGGGCCAGAATGGGCCGAAATGGACCTAACTGCTCGGGCTCCGTACTGGACAATGTCTCGAGCTCCTGTACAGTAATAGGTCGGGATAATATATCCCAACATGTATTTTCTCTAATTATGTGTTTTGTAATATTTTAGGTTTATTGGAGTACGAGAAGAGTTGAATATATATTTGTCGAGAGATGAAGTATGTGAAGCTTGCGATGCGTTGGTGATACGAGTGTGTGACAATTTATTGTAAACTATTAGCTCTAATAAATTTTTAAAAGATGAGGATTTATATTGTGAACTTTGGTGATGTATAACTTAATTCTTTTGAAATTATGGTTTTCATTTGTGATGAGAAATACTGTTGTAAGATGAATGTTTCTTATTTTATAAATAAGATTTGTTTTGGTTTGAAACACCATCTTTGTAAATTTGACCATTTAGGTAGTAGAACAAAACAAAAAAATAATTACAATTTTTGCATTTTATTTTTATTTTATTTGGCTGGAAATAAATTTAAAAAAATCAATACTATTTGCTGCGGTTCAAAAAGCTATTTGCTGCGGTTCAGAACCGCAGCAATAAGTCAATTTTTTTTATAAAAAAAATAGCTATTTGCTGCCCCTCCAATTGCTGCGGTTCAGAACCGCAGCAAATAGCTAAAAATAACCGCAGCAAATAGCTAGCCATTTTTCTAGTAGTGGGAAAACGAGCAAAGCCGGTCTGGTGGGGACGGCAAGGAAGAAAAGAAAGGCCGATCGGCTAATCGTGCTGTATGAGTAATCCGGCAGGGATGGGGAAGAAGACATCGAAGAGAAAGGTATGGATGATGGAGGAATTCGACCCCATCAATCAGCTTATTTTAGGAACGATGGATGAGGCTAACTGGAGTGGTTATACCTATATGTTTAGGGGCAAAGTTGATATTAATAAATAGATTATTTAATTAAATTAATTTTGTGGCTGTGATTAGTCATTTTGTGGTGGCTGTATATAGAATCACCCTATAATTAAATAGCATAGAGGGAATGTGTTCAATCCATGTTCTTAAACAACTGTTTGAAATATAAAAGCTTCATTACTAGCAACAGCTCCAATCTGATACAGAATCACCCTATAATTAAATAGCATAGAGGGAATGTGTTCAATCCATGTTCTTAAACAACTGTTTGAAATATAAAAGCTTCATTACTAGCAACAGCTCCAATCGGCGCTCTCTGCAAACTCAACTAGGCCATCATCCATCACAATAGGCATATTCATCCGTACAATAAGGGTCGAAAAAAGAAAATAAAAGAACAAAAATTATCTTTCGTTGAGTAAAATAATAGATAATAGATCTAATAAAAATAATAAATTGTACAAGGAAAAATTCTCGAAATATGAATAAAAATATTTGAAAATTCAAAAATAGAATTATTATGTTTTTATTCCTTAAATAAGAGTAATTACTGTCAAGCTTGAAAAATATTGTCATGTTTACAATCTGGAATTGCCAAAACATAGCATCAGTTACTCACTCATATTTGGGGAATAAAAACATGGCAATTCTATTTTGGAATATACAAACATTTTTAGTCCTATTAAGGATAATTTCCCTTTCTATATAATATATACAAAAAGGAGTTCAATTTAAGTATTTATCATTCAAAATGATAAGCTTCAAGTGTGGGATTTTCATGCACGAGTACTTGAATACTACCTCCATCCCACCATGTTTGAGACAAAGGAGTGTGGCACAACTTTTAAAAAAAAATAAAATTGTGTAGTTGGTATTAAATTGATAAAGTGTGAATAAAGTAATAATGAATTGTAACCACCCAAATATTACCAAATGTGGTATAGGACAAACTAAATGGGACGGACGAAAAAAGTAAAACGGGACAAAACATTCCCTTTTGATTTTCTCAATATCTCATTTGTAACCAAACTCTCCGATAGATTTGAAAGGCAATACCCAATATTTTATTGATCTCGTTGGATCGTAGTTATGTACAACCACCCTGGTACTTTTGTCCGGTACCACAACTCTAATGAAAATTGAACCTCTATCATAAGTTTGCACACCCCTTAAACGGGATTCCAAGCCTTTCGAGTAGTAAGAAGCCTAAGAGCTCGTTTTGTAACACAAAAATCGGCTGATTTGGCTGATTCTGCTAAAATGTATGAAGTTCTGGCTGAAGTGACTGCATTGGCTGATTTTACTGATTTAAGATATATTTTATTTAAAAAAATAAAGAAAAAATTATATGTAAAAATAGCTAAAATGGTCATCAATAGTAACTTCAGCCAATACAGCCAGAAAAGTAACTACAACCTTAGTTTTTCTGCTTATTACACAATTCAGCACACAAAAGCAAAAATTACGTGTTCGGTGAAAATGTTGGTTGATAAGCCTGATAAGCTGAAAAACAGTGTTGCCAAACGACCTCTAAATAGCCCAAACTGTTTAGGTCAACTACTCCACCTATAGGGTTTAACCGAAAACGACTAGGTTATTGCTACTACTAAAACACAGGGTTTGATGCCCAAAATATAATTCTTAATATGCTCAAATTCATTAGCTAGACCTAACCAAATATTTTCCAATTTGCGCAAATTGGTAACAGAACATTCCAATCAAGTACTACCAGCCGTAACGCACTTGAGGCGCAAAGACGTTAAGACGCTCGTTATTCGCCTGAGAGGCTTAAGCCTTATCTTCCGCTAACAAGGCCTACGCCTTAGATTTGCTGAGGCGTTGAATCGGCCTGGGGCGCAAGTCGGACACGAGGCGTACGCCTCTGATTTATGCAAATTTTGGGCTTGTTTTTTAAATTATTGGGGCCTCGATTTTATTTTCATCCTAAAATTATACTTGCTAGGTCAGCCCAAGGTCGGATATCAACTTAGCCATATCCGTTGGTCTTCCAATCGGCAATCGTTGGTCTTCCGTATCAACAAACGACTTTCAGGAGTGCTGCTCAGCTTACTGTATCAGTCGAATCCGTACTGAGGTGCTTCACTGCTAAATATCACATTCCCACCGCATAACTTCTTAATTCGTTATTGTGTTCATATTCAAGTTTTTTTATTTAACTTTTTACGTATTTAAAGTTCTGTTTTGAACTATTTCAAGTTAGGCTATGTTTGGTACAATTAGCTGAAAAGATCTTTTTGTGAGCTTTTTAGTAACTGTTAGCTTTTAATGACTGAAAAGATCTTAAAAGTAAAAGATGATAGCTGTTTGGTAAAAAGCTGACTGTTTGATTTAGTTCTGTTTGGCATACAAGCTGTTAGGATTTATTAAAGCTAAAAGTCACAGACTTTTCTCAGATGCTACTACATGTAGCATCTCAAAAAAGAGCTTTTATTTTTTGAAAAGCTCTTAAAAATTGGCGTGCCAAACAAACAACTAACAACTTTTAGAGACTTTTTCTCTACAATATTATAAGAGGGAATATTGTTAGGGGTGTAATGGTGATAAAAAAAATGTTGGTGTCTCTTAATGCATTAAGCCCTTATACCTTATGTTTACTTTGTTGTACATCTAACCTTATATTAACTTTCCGTTTTAACGGAAATGTTAAAACAGCCCATCTTCTAATGTCCGTCGTCTTGTTTTGTTGGAGAAATTCTAATGTCCTTTTACATTTAGGGCATGTTTGGCACAACTAGCTGAAAAGATACTTATGTGAGCTTTTTAACAGTCGTTAGCTTTTAGTGACTGAAAAGATCTTAAAAAGAAAAGGTGGTAGCTGTTTGATAAAAAGCTGACTGTTTGATTTAGTTTGGTTTGGTATACAAGCTGTTAAGATTAATTAATACTAAAAGTCACTAGCTTTTCTTAGATGCTACTCCCGGTAGCATCTCAAAAAAGATCTTTTAATTTTTGAAAAGCTCTTAAATATTGTCATGTCAAACACACAACTAGAAGCTTTTAAGAACTTTTTGAACAGTACAAAAGCTAGAAGTCAGGGACTTATGCCCGCCAAACATAGCCTTAATTCAAGTTGTTGTAAAAGTTTTCCTTGCACCTCCTATTCCAGCACCACGCCGTCACTCCACAGTAGACCATTTATTCACACCGGCAAATTAAAGGAGGAGTTGCTGGAGTCCTGGACCACTTGCGGTCGGGTCTTCACTGCTTGCACATTGTACGTTCTCCGGGCTACTATGCGAATACGCAATTGGGTGATTGGGTGAAGGAACTGCTGCACTCCCATGTTTCCTCCGGATTTGGTCAAGGAGGAAGACAGTAGTACGTCTATTCCTATTTTATTTACTAGGAGGCCATTTGGTAACACTCAAATCGGCTGAATCAGCGGTTTCTGTTGATATTATTGAAGTTCTGGATGAAGTGACTGTATTGGTTGATTATGTTGATTTATGAAAAATTATATATAAAACATATTTTATTAATAAAATAAAGAAAAAATTATATTAAAAATAGCTAAAATGACCATCTACAGTAACTTCAGCCAATACTGTTAGAAAAGTGACTACAGCCTTACTTTTCTTATTATGACACAATTCAGTGCGCAAAATCAAAAGTTATGTGTTTGGTAAAAAGTTGACTGATAAGCCGAAAAACTGGTTCACCAAATGAGCTCTAGATGTGCATGCTAGGCCTTTAAACTTGGGCCATATGACCTAAATGAATACAAAGGTTAAATGATAATATTTGGGCTGTATTCATAATAATAATAATACATAGTAGTAGTAGTAGTAGTAATAATAATAATAATAATAATAATAATAATAATAATAATAATAATAATAATAATAATAATAATAATAATAATAATAATAATAATAATAATAATAATAATAATAATAATAATAATAATAATAATAATAATAATAATAATAATAATAATAATAATAATAATAATAATAATAATAATAATAATAATAATAATAATAATAATAATAATAATAATAATAATAATAATAATAATAATAATAATAATAATAATAATAATAATAATAATAATAATAATAATAATAATAATAATAATAATAATAATAATAATAATAATAATAATAATAATAATAATAATAATAATAATAATAATAATAATAATAATAATAATAATAATATAATTACAAGTCAAACGAAAATGAAATGGATGATGTAAATAATGGACTACTATGAATGGACTAATTACTATTGAAATGCATGAGTAGAAAATTGACTAATGAGAATTATGGGATTTAGATTATAAACGGATAATTAAACTAATTTTAACTTTAACTTGCATCATGTTTGTCCAGGAGGCGATGATGGCCGATCAATAAGCAGAGATTTTCAAGGGCACT